GCGTCGCGCCCACAGCAAATCTTCCGATTCTCAGATGCCTCGATGCGGTCTCGCATGGAAATTCCCGCGGCAACGTTACGTTACGTTTACGGTGCAAAACGGCCCACATCCTTACAAATACATTGTATATATGGTCTCCTTTGGTAAAAAAAAACCTGTTGGAAGTTTTCGAACCTGAATTGGAGCAGGCTAGTTGCGGTAGAGCACGGCACCCTCAGTCCTCAGTGATTTGCCTTAAATGATGCCACGCTCTACCGCGAACGGTCTGCTCTAGCTCATTTTCAAACTTTATGAGGATGACTATAATGACTATATTTACCGCAGCGATATCCATCATCATCGACCGTATAAACACAAAATCCATAGGAAGAGATCCCTTTGTGATAACTTCCTGCAATTCGAATTTTCACGTAATAAAAATATTTTTCTCTTGAATTTCAACTGGGCAGATTAATTCACCTGCAGCGTTCCTCTGGAACAAAATTTCCACAGTGAATACACTAGAGCAGTATCGATGGATACACCAATAAAACGATTCAAATTGTCATGTTCGATTTGACGCATCTGCAGAAATAATTTTTTTCCATCCTCAGAGACTGATATCAATCTCAAACCTTTCGGAACTCGGAATTTGTGCGCTCATCAAATCTGATCAAGGTGGAATGCTTGAAAGCAGTGAGCGGATCATTTCCATAATAAAAATAGCACATTTTCTCGGTCTCAGCTTTCGTATCTAGCACATCCGAGTGAGCCCCAGATATTGACGAGGAAAATGATTGTGATGTGCTCTTAATACGGAATCAATAAACCGATTAGTCGCATGTGAAATGAATAAAAGCTGACCTTGAAAACTGGTTTTCTAAGTTTATGTGAAGGAATTTTCCATAGAGCATCTTGTCTTTTCTTTTCGTTTTCTCTTTCTCTATAAATGAGCGAATTAGCAGTGTCGTTCTGAGTAAATTGGTTCGGGGAGGAGGGAGGGGGGAGGTTTTTTTTACAGTAAATCGCTCTTCGAAAGTTTTTCGGAATTTTTCCAATATTCGGGGCTGTAACTCCAAAATTTTGGAAAAAGGGGCGTGGCGGCTAAATCTGATTTAGAAAAATTTCAAATATTATTCTAGTATTTTGAGTGACAAACAGTCATTCGCACATTTTTATAACGCGTTTTGGTCGCTATC